GATTTGGAATGGACCTCTTTTCACACTAAAGGGCTGGTTATCCTCCCGCAGCAGTGCGTCGCAGTGAGCTTGTCGCAGGTGTTTTGATTTATGCCCAATTTTAAAGCATGGTCTGTGATATGTTATTCCACGCCACAACGCAAGAGGGACAATCATGAACTAGCTAGGATTGTGGGTGTCCGTGTGTCAGTTTGATGAGCTTGTTCGCCGTCTACACGGCGCACAGTTCCTCCGTGAGTTTTCCCTAAAGACTGGCCGTGGCGCTGCGTGTTTTGCCTTCGGGTGCAAACCAACAAACCGTTGCATAGTGCTACAAACTAGCATCCTGTACAGTGTCTGGGATAATGCCCAGGAGTTGTAGATGCCACTACAGCCAGTTTCTGCCATTAGGTACCGGGACATACGTATAGTGTAGAGCTGATGTAGAATTGACCAATCATAGGCCTCCTTTCTCTCCTTCCTGCGACTCTATCTAAGGCACTGTCTGCGGCGGTCACCTACAGTGTTGGGGAGGTGCAACAGAGTGTCTGCGACGGGGGGGTGAGGGTGCATATCTGCGTTAACTGTGACACACACAGACGACCTGGTATCTGAGCATAAGCCAGGCTTAAATGCCTTGAGATGGCAAGGCACTTAGTATGAAAAGAGGTCACAGAGGTCTTAAGTTGAGCTGTCATGTTACAAATGTTGCACCGATGCCATTTTTTGGCCCCGGTACGATACCCTGCTGTGCAGTATTGGCCGATACCGATGCCATCTGTTTGAAACTTATGTGTGTGTGTATATGTGAAGAAATGCATGCTACTTGGATGTTATATTATTGCCATCATGGCTTTGTCAAGCTGCTGCCTACCTTTGTGAAGCAGGAAAAAGACAAATACAAAGTGAATCCAGTAGAACTTTTTATTGCCTACCTGCCTGGAATGGGTGACAATAGTTGAATAAACTTTTGGTTCTCAAAATGGTATCGGTGCCCTATTTGTCGGTACTCACCAATAACGATACCTCCATTTTAGTGCTGAATCAGGGCCCCACCTGATACTGGTATCAGTGCAACACTAGTTGCAAATTTGAAATGAATTAAATTCTAAGTAAAGCACTGCAATTGTTTGGCTGTTTCGGAGTAGAGCACCGTGAATGGCTGGTCGTTTAGAAGCGAAGCTCCATGATTGGTTTCATGCTTGTGAGTAAACACTGGTATTGGCTCTATATGGTTGTTATTGCAGAAGACTCCTCCTACCCAGATGCACCACAGAGGGCCACAGGAAATCATTCCTACCTGTGGTCATCAATCTCTATAACGCCTCCCTCAAGTGATTCAGCCAACCAAGTATCACTTTACTTGGATTTTCACTTTATTTGGATTTAGTTTTTACATATGCATAGATATACATACAGATATATATACAAAAGAGCTATATTTGTATATATTTTATCACTTTTATTCTTATTTTTTATCTTATTTTTTTTATCTTTATTATATTGTATAGTTGGATGTGTGTATATATTATATAGAACTATAACTGGAGCGTGTAACAAAAGTAATTTCCCTCTGGGATTATTAAAGTATTTCTGATTCTGATTGTTCTGCTATTGGCAACTGATAGATAAGTCAAGATCAGTGGTTGGGTGACACGAGCTGATTTATTTGCTGACTGTCGCTGGGTCAAACTCATCGGCTATTAGTGAGTTAAACCCATTCATTAATTGACTATTGATGAACAATGCCCTTTTATTCGCTTACAGTGTTTTATTTTGACAGATTACAGCACACTAAGGGACTAAACTGTTAAGCGCCACTCAGGCGTTTGGTTGCAAGGAAACAAACAAAACACTGATTTAAACAGCAATACAAGTAGTTTAATCTGACATCAACACAAACCTTATAGAGTGAATGCAGCAGCTTTAAATCAGTCGATCAATTATCAGTAAATTGATAACCACTCATACGATTAGGCACAGGAACAGAGATCAGGAAAAAGGGGAAAAGGAGCAGTTTCATCCTGAGTTTCTTTCTACACACCTACCGACTACTGTAAGGTTACTATGGTTATTATCAGTTTACTCAGGACTGACCAGACCTGGTCAGGTTAGTTTATTAAATAGTGGACTCAGCAGAGCCCAAACGTGCAAAAATATCATACAGTTTATAAGAATGATGGGATGTAAAGAGAAATGATGGACAAAGTGCGAAAAAAAAAAAAAAAACCCTGACAATGATCACAGAATCAGTTTGGGTGATAACGTCATAACAGATTAACCCTTTATAGGGCAAGTTAGCATTTTTGATCACTTGTATACCCCTTACAAATGGAGTCCCCTCTGTTCCTCAGCTAAGATGCTGATACATGGCTGTACATCTGATTTGGGCATTTGCCCAATTAGATGAGCCCTTGAATGATATATATATTACTTTCTGTAAATTAAGTTGAAAAAAAAGTTAAAAAGTAAAGTAAAGTAAAAAGTTAATAAGCCAAATAAAAAATTATATTTAGGTTTATAAACTAAAACATGTAAGTGCCAGAATCAGCATTAATAGCCTTGTGGACCATCCTGATCTCGCGAGCTTTCAAGGTTTCACTCGCAGATAAGTCTGGAGACTCTCCGTTAAAGAAAATTTGGAGCCGTTCACCAAACGAACGTCCAATCAGCGTTGGCTTTGAGGCGGGTTGAGGTGTGACGCAACGAGAAGCGCGACAGTTCAGTCTAAAAACATGGCGGCTTCAGCCGATGAAACTAGCGTTAGCGTGGCTATCGAGCAAGTTTTATCGGAATTACAGAGTATTTCTTCACTGAAAGAAGAGCAAAACACTGCTCTGGAGGCTTTTCTCAGAGGAAAAGATGTTTTTGCTCTTCTCCCGACTGGTTTCAGCAAGAGTTTGGTCTATCAATAGTACGTCATATGCTTCGTTGATCTGATTGGTTTATCAGATCTGATTGGTTGATCTGATTGGTTTATCAGATGGATATGCGGAGCAAATCCATCTGGCGGAGTCAGGTTACAGCATTAATGCCTCTAAGGTGAAAAAATTGTGTTTTAATTTAATTTTTTTTATTTAATTAATTTAATTTGTGTTATCACATTGACATTAATTTCTGCCATCAAAATATCCATCTTTTTTATTTTTACAAAATATATAATGAGGTCTTGTCCTGGATTCCAATAACACTATTGGCTTGAAATTTGGATATTCAACGTATTTTACTGAGTGCCCTAGAAAGGGTTAATGAAACTGATAATAATGAGAAAACTGTCATCTTACCTCAGTAGTCTTAATGTAATCAGCAATAATAATGTCACTTACTCTAATAAGAGAACAAATTACACATAAAATGCTGATTAATGTGCAACAATCTAAACTGAAACAAATGGACAAAATCAAGAGAATGATAAAGTGGTTACACTGTAATAATACTGTAACAAATACAGTAATAACAGAAATGTGTTAGTTAAGTAACACTGTATGTTTTATCACATTCCACAGCATAGAACAGGGTGTGATGATGGATTAATGGCACCAAAATAAAAGTCTTCACATTTGATTTTTAGTTTATTCCTGGGATCTAATTCACAGGAAACTGGGAGTGACGTCACATCCTGCAGGCCCTCATGGACCAATAACAACGCAACAACAAGTAGACAGGAAACCTGAGACAGGATCTGAATGTAGTTTGACTGCAGAAAATATTTAGGTTATTAAATTGCGACTTTTGAAACTGTTACTGTGGCAGTCAAAGTTTGAAAAACGCTGCATAAATACGTGATTTCACAATAAATTCAAAAGGCCCTGCAAGCTCATCCATTATACTAGCAAACACCAAAATTAAGACCAATATCCAAACACATAAAACACATTCAAAAGAAAAAATACTGCAAGTAGAAAAAAAAGAAGCAAAAAGTCGATGATTATCTTCCCCTGGTGGTCTGGAGTTTTCCCATCGGGCGGTTAGCAGCTTTTCTCAAGTTGTGGTTGTTTTAACTGTTTGCAGCAGTTCTCCTTTGCTAGTGAGTTTTTGAGTTAGCATCCAGGGGGGACCATTAGGCAAAACCATTAGGCCTTGGGGGCCCCATAAAACTCCTTTTACATGTATGGTTAATACAACTATTCCTTATACACATGAATTGTTTTTGATAAAAATCCTTTTGCTAAAATGCCATCAGATCGCTCATAATATTAGGTGTGTCTCACCCCCCTGTTTCAGTGTCCACCATATTGGATCAGTCCATTTGCTGCACATGTTCAGAAAGGTCCAAACAGACAGCAGCAAACCATTTGAAAACTTAGAGCTTCTGTCGCTATATTTAGCGACTTTTCAGACCCCTCTAGCACTTTGATTTCAAAGCAACAAGAGCCAAATCTAGCGACTTTTTTCTGCTACTGGAGACCTTGGAGACAACATCTAAAAGCAGCGAACTCTGCTCTCCAGAGCGAGTAGATTGGTAACCCCGCCTCCTGCTCTCCTCTATCTTGTCTGCTGTCATGATTCATGCAGCTATTATTTCATCCAAATGAAAAATGGAGAACAGATAAGCAGATCATGGCTTGTCTACAGTGAAAAGAAGGACTGGGTTATTTACTTTGGCCTTTTTGGAAACACAGGAAGGAGCAATCAGCTAAGTGAGCTTAGTGTTTGGGAAAAAATTCCTTTTGAGACGGCATGAAAAGTCAGCTGACTACAAAACATAGAGAGGAAAACAACAATAAAAGGGACAAGAAGAGAGGGAAAAAACCTAGAACAAATAATGGATGTCTATTCTAAAAAAAATTCTGTATCTGCATAATGAATCTTCTTTATGTTGTCTTCTCAATTCAGAAGGCCCCCTGCCTGTCTTTGCCTAGGGCCCCAAATTTGCTAAATCCGCCCCTGTTTGTATCATTTATGTATTTGCAGCAGTTTTGAGTTGCAACACTTTTACATTTTGCTGCTCTCTGTATTCTGTGATTTTTTCTTAACTTGCTGTTGTTGTTGCTACTTGCTGTATTTTCATTCGCCTGCGTTTCGGTGTTTGTTTGTTGGTTTCATTTCCGAGTTTACATGACCTTTTGAATTTGCAGTGCAACACGTATTTACACATTGCTAGCATCCCTCAGCCACTGTATGTTCCTTATCTATTTACAGGTTAATTATTCAGAATACATTCTCAGGATTTAATCTCTGACCTGTTCCATGTTTCTGTAAATCAGGCTCTGACACATGTTTGTTCCTCAAACTCGGCCTTCTTCTCAGCTGCAGCCCATTTGATGTGTTCAACATTGTGTTAGAACCTGCTAGAACCTTTAAGGGAGGTTTGTGCTTTGATTCTGCAGAAACAGAACCAGGGTTAGTCTTCAGAATTCACAGCAACATAAAGAGAAGAACCAGACTTTAAATGTTCAGCAGCGCCCCCTGCTGGCAGGCAGGGAAAGAAAGCTGGTGATCAGAAGTTTAAGCACAGACATAACCAATCCACAGACCCATATCAACAGCATGAACATAGCTGCCTGGTGCGTCATTGGACCCATTAAGAGCAGCTGATTCGTCGAGTCCACCGAGTGGAGATGCAGCAAACAGCCTCTTGATTGACAGACCCTTTGATCACCTTAATAAACGTGTCCTGTACTGATTGGCTGCTCTGATCCAGTTCAAGTGTAGAGTTCTGATTGGTTGGGGTGGTCCTAATAAAGGCTGCGATTGGACGATCAGAGGTTGGAGGACTGTTTGATGCTGTGGAAGGATACTCTGCTGGGAGACGTAGGGATCGATGTGGCACGGACCGTCCTGCTGCGGATGGAGTGACGATCGTGCCAACGCATCCAGCGCTTCTTCACTGTGGAGCGCACCTGGATGCAGATGGAGAAGGGCTGGTGAGGTGAATCACAGTACCAGGCTCAGAACCAGCAAATACTGACTGCAGATTCTGAGGAACTCCAGAAAAAAAACTCTCATTCATTGGAATTTAAAGAAGTCCGGTCACATTTAGAATACAAACTTCTGAAAGTACTTTAAGTGTATGACATTATTAAATACTTTTCAATAAATGATAAGTGTTTTTAATTAAGATTAATTTAATTTGAAAGTGCTTTACTGGAGACATCCATATTTTTCAAAGAACACTACTGCCACCTAGAGGTTTGTGACGTCACGGTGCGGTATCGGCTGTTGAGCAAGTCCCAGTGCTGTATCTGTGTTTGTTACACCGCGCTATTATCCATGATATTGACAACCAGTGCGCTATGCAAAGCAGACTTGTAACGGATTAATTGGTAACATGTTTTTTCTCTGGCCAGAAGTTCGATGGCAAATCCTCCCTCTTCAAGTTGGCGATCCAACGATGAACCCGTCCGTGGAGGATCAGGAATCAGAAAGGTGGAATAACTCTTTTTCTTTCTTTTCTTACTTTTACACGATGTATTTCAACATCCAACTGCCATGCACGTGGGCATTGTCAGCAGTGTTGGGCACGTTACTTTGAAAAAGTAATTAGTTATAGTTACTAGTTACTTCTCCCAAAAAGTAACTGAGTTAGTAACTGAGTTACTCCACAATAAAAGTAACTAGTTAGTAGTAAAAGTAAGTATTGCGTTACTTTTGCGAGTGTATGAAATTAATAACTGGGGATGTCTAATTCTGAAATCCTGTGTTTGGGTTGTTATAGATACTGCAACATGTAGCTATATCTATCTATCTATCTATTTATTCCATCCATCCATCCATCCATCCATCCATCCATCCATCCATCCATCCATCAATTTTTCCATCCATCCATCCATCCATCCATCCATCCATCCATCCATCCATCCATCCATCCATCCATCCATCCATCCATCCATCCATCCATCCATCCATCCATCCATCCAAAAATGGCCGCTCCCAGACTCAGTGATCGCAATGAAAATTGTTTTTATTTTTTTACATTAAGTTAATTAAATCACCGCAAACGTATTTGTTTGAGGTATAATTAATGATCCACTGGTTATTCCTTGCTGACTGGAGTTTTCTTTTAAATCATGTCTAATCATGTTTAACTCCTCTCTGATGAGGCTAATGGAAAGGAAAAATCCTCCCAACCGGCCATATTCTAGATTTTAATAGAGAACCTTGTTTTTTGTTTGCTTTCATGTTTTATGATCAGATTTATGTCCTTGTTTGGTTTTGCTCTGAGGAACCTGTTCTGCAGTTTCACAGTCGTCTTAAATTACCTCACTGTTGAGGAAGCAGTAGAAAACCGAGACGAAGAAACCCTGCAGAGAGAGACAGAAGGATGATGTCAGCTTTAGCATGAAGATGAACAGTCTATTGTTTGTAGGGTATGATTTACAGAACCTAACCCTCCTCTGACAGGAAACTATCAGACTTAATGTCTCTGAACAAAGTGGATGAAGGAGGTTGACACGTAATGACTCTGAGATCATCCTAATCAATCTGGATTCCTCAGGAAGCAATGTCTACCTCTGACACTCATCATTAACAACGACTTAATGTCTGAATGATAGTATGCCTTAACCCTGACCTAAACCGTTTCTTCAGTTCTCCACAACACTGGCACCACAGTCCCTCTGATCCATTCTCTTTACATGTGGTTGGAGAGAATCCAGATGTTGTCACATCTGTTGATCATGACCCAAACAAGGTATGAAGACAGAGAGGAGTGGTTGTTTGCCCCGGGTGAATGCTTGGCTGCAGGATCAGAGTCTCTGAGGAACTTCAGCAAACCTGGAAAGACTCCAGGATGGAGTTAAAGTAGATGAAGACAATCTGTGCCACTTCGTCTTCTCCTCCTGGATTCACAAAGAACAGCATGTAAGTGATTCCCAGCAGCGGCAGCAGCACCAGCGTAGCCTTCACCGCCTTCCTACAGGACACAGACAGAGCCACTTCATTCACTGAAAGACTTCACTTTCACTGGAAATACTTTGGTTTTATTCCAAATATTTTCACTAGACTCAACGTATATATTGTAGTTTGAAAATATTCTGGTCTCAGAAAAAAATATTTTGATCCCACTGAAAATGAGAGGCTTAAAACTTTGGTTAAGAAGCTCAGGTTATCCTGAGCTATCTCGATAGCTATGCTGCTATAGGTTTAGACTTCTGGAGGACATAGTGATCCCTTTTTCATCATTCTGCTTCATTCCATCTCTATTATCCTACTATGCAGAATCTGCCATTGACACATTTGTTTATAGATGTTGGAAATCTGCCTGTTTTCCAGTGTAGTCCTGTTTCTCTGACTGTGACTAACTGGATGTGCTCTCTTCATCCTCTGACATGGGAGCTGGCTAAGAGCTCGTCTTTAGAGTTACCTTTTGCATCTCTGCTTCTTTTTCTATGTTTGCTTCTGTCTCCTTGAACCCCAGTCGGCCTCAGCAGATGGCCGCTCACACTGAGCCTGGTTCTGCTGGAGATTTCTCCCTGTTAAAAGGGGAGTTTTTCCTCTCCACTGTCGCTACAAGCATTCTTAGTGCGAGGGATTGCCTTTAAGTCAATGAGTCGATACATTTAGCTGGTTTTCTTTAGATAGAAAACTTTATATCAATCTAGATGATCTGGTGAAGTGTAAAGTGCCTTGAGATGACGTGTTGTGAATTGGCGCTATAGAGTTTTGTGAATTTAAGCCCATTGCAGCTGTTTAAAGCACATTTTATGAAGGTTTGTTCATACCTGTACTGGATGGTCTCCGAAGTGGTCGACGCCCTCAGTTTGGTCATCAGAATCCGAACGATGTTGAACAGGAAAACAAAGTTTATCTGGAAAGAAACCGGGTAAATGTGAGCTTGAATTTATCTATCTTTGGTTTTTGTGGAACTTGGCCCGGAGGCTGCAGGCAACTCTAGTAGGAATGAAAATGGACTGGAGTCGATTAAGGTGGACTGGCTACGATGAAAGCGGATCTGCTTGGGTTGGCTGAGTTTAAAGGACTAATCACCTGGAAATCTGACATTTTCATATTAAAAGGCGTGTGTTTGTTTTAGGCCTCAGTTAGAACCTGCGGGAAATTATGTTTTTTTTTTCCCAAGTAGACTCCTTGTTCAAACCAAAATACCCCACAAGTGCACTCTTCACATAGCGTGACTTTGGCCTTTCTCCTGTATTAACATCAATCCTGAAAAGCTGCTAATATTAGCCCGCTTTGCTATCATCGCTCCACCAAAAAGGGGGATTCCAACAATCATAGACTGACCTACAGACATTTGGTAATGTTATCTGATTGTGTAACATTTTACCTATTGTGTAAGAGATCTGGAAACAATAGTAAATGAACTATGGATAACTGTTAATATTTCAATGCATACACACAAGTCAAATTCTTGTGCATACTTTGTAAGAATAAAAAAGGGGGATGAAAAGGGGTCTGTATTACCTCTAGTTACATTTTTTTTGTCTTGCAAAGTTTTAAACATAAATCTAACACAATCTCAGGACGATGTATGATTAAAATATTAGGTTATGACTCCTTTAAGGTAAACTTTTAAGCTTAAAGGTAAAAAGTTTGTATTGCAGGCTGGATGGATTTAAGGTGGACTGGCATAGTTCTTACCAGCAAGACCAGGATCATAGGACCTTGGTAGATGTAGTCTGTATAAACACCTGCCTTCTTCCCAAACCAGCACCTGGAATTTAAATAACATGAACCAATGAGATGAAAAGGTATGATCTTAAAGTATGTTACATAATGACATGAGGTAATCTTGTCTGTTTGTTTTTTTTTGTTTTGTTTTTGTATTGGCCTGTACGGATGTTGTTAAGCATCTCCTTCATTAAAAAGAAACCCATGCTGACACTATGGGTGCATTAACACCAAACTCACCCGCAGTAATTTCTGCATAGTAGTACAGGTAGCTTGATTTAAAAAAAGTTAAAAAACAATCCACTGGACTTTGTTTCTAAGTTTGAAGATGTTTTGCTTCCCATCCACAAAGGTTTTCCAATTCAAAATGTCAGGAATAGCGTTGAGTTCGAGGCTTTATACAGTAGCCCAACAAAGCCTTGTTTTGGCTTAGAAAACATGAAATTGAAACGGACGAACAGGTCCACCCCTTTGCAGTGGGGGTTATTTGGATTCTTTTGTTAGCCTGCAATGCCCAATACTTGTCTATGTCTCTGAAAGGGGGTCGTTAAAGGGAATTGTTGGCCTGGCTAGATAGGCCAGGTCTTCTGTTCCCCTGTAAGGGGGTGGGGGTTGCGTTGATAGCGGGAAGGGATCAACTCAATTGCTGCATTGTAGGTTTTTGAGTCCACCCCCTCTGTTGAAGGTTGGTTTTTCTTTCTTAACATAGATGGCTTCCTTTACGCGCCTCTCAAACCACCTATTTTCTTTATCCAAAATGGGAACATTCTAAGCCTCAAAAGAATCTCCCGAGGAGGTCGTTCTTCTGTGGTGGGCCATGTGTCTTTGGAGAGGTTGTTTGGTTTGTCCAATATAAAGATCAGAGCATTCCTCACTGCATTGAACTGCATACACTACTTCACTCATATTTGGACTGGGGCTACTGTATAAAACCTCAAACTCAATGCTATTCCTGACATTTTGAATTGAAAAAGATTCCTGGATGGGAAACAAAATGTCTTCAAACTTGGAAACAAAGTCCAGTGGATTGTTTTTTAACTTATGAGGAATGACTATGACCTGGATGATTGAGAATCTTCATCAGTATATGGTCAAATAGGGGGACATTTAGTTTCTCTTCGGGTCCATATGATTCTCCAGAGATGGACCGAGTTTAGAGAGTGCCATAACCAACTCCAAGATGATGGTCTGCTTTGGCAGTATTTCCTTGTATTTAGCCAGGCAGAGAGCACCAGTTCTGGGAGAGGCAGCGGCTGGCTTATTTGAGGGAGAATCTAATGTAAAGTTTAAGAAAGCTGCATTCCTGTCCTGCATTTTGACACTGTGACCCTAATGCCAGAAACCACTACTGAGCACACAGCAAAAAAACTCTAGATGGCTTTATTAAGTCCTAAATTCATCTCCGTCTGACAAGGAAATGTTTGCTTGTCATCTCTAACATATAAAACCCAAACTATGTCAAGTGACTGCAGACTGGTACAGGTGTGGTTGATCGCCTGGAGCAGAGGACTGAGGATCAAAACACTTCCTGCGTGACTCACTTCTCATTGTCGTAGTACAGTTTCCCAAAAGCCCATGCCACGATGATGGGAAATGGAATACCTGGAAGCAGAGAGATGGGTGGACAGGTGAGCCATGGACGCACACAGGTGGACAGACAAATAAATGGTCAGACAGATGGACAAATAGCTTTTTAATCTAACAGGTGAAGACACGGACAGTCAGACTGAAGAATAGACAGTCTGGTGGAAAGGGAAGTGAGACAGGCAGGGGGAGACAGACAGACGGATAGACAGACCAACCGATAACCGACCCCAGCCAATGCAGATGAACATCCACTTTCTGAGTTTATCGGTGGAGTAGGTAAGGACCACGGCGGTGTGCAGGTAGCATCCTTCACCAAACATCCAGAAGAAGTTTGTCACATGAAAGTAGTTATAGGCTGCAGTCACCAACCTGCACCACACCTGAGGAGGAGGATGATGAAGAGATGTCAGCTTATTGGGATTATTTTAAATTCTCTTTTAGTCTAATTCAACATGATGTTCTACATCAATGGACATTTTGCTCCATTTGAAGCCGAGACATGTGAGCCACACACTGAGCATGCTCCTGAGATGTCTAAGAAACCCCACAGACTCTACCATTCAACTTAAGAGCCTTTTTTCTGCCTAATTGACTCTTGGGAAAGACTTAATAATATGTTTCCCGGACTCTAAGCTCAATTTAGTAGATATCAGTGGCTTATAGCAAGGTGCGGCTTACATATGTAAGTTTCAAGTTTTCACTAAAAATGTAATGGCCGTGGCTTATAGTGAGGTGCGCTCTATAGTCCGAAAAATATAGTATAGACATAAGAACCAGATCAGGGTTTCTAAACGTTGCTGGAGGTAAATTACCATTAACCTGGACTACTTTAAGGTACATGCTGGTGAGAAACAAAAAAAAGAAACGGAACCAGTGAATGACTCATGCTACATTTAGACCGCACGCGATAGGGGCCGCAGAAGCAGCTGGTTTACATGCAAAGTCTTTGGTTGACTCGCATCAAAAGGTCCTGCAGTGCATTTTGAGCAGCCGGAGCAGTGCATCTTGACGCTTTAAAGCAACGCCTTATAAGCTTCTGACCATTTAAGGCATGGGATGCCTTAAATGGTCTATGTTTGATTTTATTATTCTGGTGCCTCAGTTTGGATTACGTACATGAAAAACGCCTTCCAGCCACCACGAACATTAACAGAAAACCCCGAAGAAGCGACCAGGCCAGAGGCTGCTGTTGAACGGGATTTCCAGGGACAGAGCACCATCGTACAACCGCTCATACTGCCTGTGTACAGGGGTCTGAACAGCCCCGACAGCGAAATAATAATTGAGGGCAGGATTGTAATCTTGATAAACTGACAGAAGCACAGGTGAAGTTTTCAGACTCTCTCGCTTAAAACATATTAAAACTACTTTTTACTAGTGTTGCGCCGATGCCATTTTTTGGCTGTGCAGTATCGGCCGATACCGATACCATAATAATGTCAAATAATTGCCATCATGGCTTTGTCAAGCTGCTGCCTACCTTTGTGAAGCAGGAAAAAATCTAATACAAAGTGAATCCAGTAGAACTTTTTATTGCCTACCAGGAGTGGGTGACAATAGTTGAATAAACTTATGGCTCTCAAAATGGTATCTGTGCCCTATTTGTTGGTACTCGCCGATACCGATACCACCATTTTAGGGCAGTATCGGGGCCCCGTCCGATACTGGTATCGGTATCGGTGCAACACTACTTTTTACACACTTATAACAGTAAATATAGCAAAGCCGCTCTCTTCACCATTGAACACAAGCGCAGCAGGAGTATAGGATACATCTGAACACACTTTACTGGACGCGGTTCAGGATTGTCAAAGATAGTCTTGAGGCGAGTCGGACCTTAATGTGGACAGGCATAAAAAATGAAGCAGCAGAAGCTTTTTTGCTGCTTCCAGCGCTTACGTTCTGAACATAGCATTAGGCAGACAATAATTGCAAAAGGAACATGTTGCAAAGGGGCTCAGATTGCAGGGTTATGCTGTATGGGGAGGAGGATGAGATCACCTTGTTGCTCTCTGTTACCGAGGGATTCATAGTTAGCTGTACGATAAACCAGGTGGCGTTCCTCAGGATGAAGGCTGAGATCAGATTCCAGTGGATGATGTTCCTCAGACAGCGGATGCTCCTGGAACAAACGCATACATTCATTCATTAAGGTTTATGGACAGTGCTCTGAAGGATCACCGCGGATTTAAAGCTTTAGGTCTGGACTTGGACTGCTCTAACACGTGGAATAATTTGTCTCCAAGCCGTTTTGTTGTTTATTTTTTTGGGATCATTGTTCTGTTGAACCAGTTTTTTTGATGGAGAGAAAATAGATTCAATATATTTTTGTGTATTTGTAAGCTGTGTAAACATGTTGAAGTATAGTTCTGGATGATTTGTATGTTTAAAATGATGACTGTAAAATAACTTTCTGTGAGAACATTTAGCTATTTTTCAAATGTGTGATCTAATGCACACAATGATATATTAGATTATGAGATTTCAATTCAAAATGAAATTGAAACCAAATCACATTTACTCCTACTTACACAAATAATTCAATATGCAGGACTTCACTGATACACAAGGACAAAACTGCAGTTACAAACAGATAATTTTGTAAGTGTAAACTATTTTGTAGGCTAATTTCATGCTTCCAGATGCCTCATAGATGTGTGCGCACATGGGATTATTTAATCGCTGTGGAAAGCTGTGTCATTTGAATTTTATTCAGAGTTTAGTGTTAATTGCCCTCCAATTAACACTAAACTCAGAAACTTGTGCCATCAGAAAATTAATTTGAAATGCCAAGAGTGAACCTGTATTTGAGAACATTTTGAATTGTTTTGAAAGAGTTTTACTCAAAATAAAAATCACAGAATTTGAAGCCCAACCCCTCATACTCATTGTTTCTTGCTTCATCCGGGACCAGAGGAAGCAGTCTCGGAAGAGACTACCGGGATTCCCTCTCCACAGCCACCTTCTCCAGCTATGCAAGGGGGAGCCCGAGGCTCTTTTAGGAAAGCCGAGAGACATAGTCTTTCCAGTGTGTCCTGGGTTGTCCCCCAGTGGGATATGCCTGGAAAACCACCAGAGGGAGGCACAAGGGGGCATCCGAAAATGTGGAGGAGAACGTGCTCTACTTCGACCCCCTCCCAAGTAACTGAGCTCCTCACTTCCAAGGGAAAGCCACTTGTATACAGGATCTCATTCTTTTGGTCATGATCCAGATGTCATGATCACAGGTGAGGGTTGGAATCTAGACTGATCGATAAATTGAGAGCTTTGCCTTTTTTGCTCAGCCCTCTCTTCACCACTACAGACCGGTGCAGCTTCTGCATTATAGCAGGCACCGCACCGTTCTTTATATAGATCTCCCACTCCATTCTCCCCTTACTCTTGAACAGGACCCCAAGATACTTCAACTCCTCCACTCGAAGCAGAGACTCTCCTCCAGGGCGTTGGACTTGGAAGACACAAATCTGAATCCCGCACTTTCACACTTGGCTGAGAACCATCTCAGTGCATGCTGTAAGTCTTGGTAGGAGGGAGCCAGCAGAACTATGTCATCTGCAAAAAGAAGGGACAAGATCTATCTGTCCCCAAAGCTAGAGCCCTCTGGTTCTTGGCTACACATAAAAATCCTGTCCATGAAGGTTTTGAACAGGACAGGTGACATAGAGCTGCCTTAGTGAGTCCAACATTCATTAGGAACAGGTCCAACTGTGCCGGCAATAAAGACCAGGCTCCTGCTCCACTTGTACTGAGACCAGATGGCCCCTAGTAAAGGGCACCCAACCCAGTCCTGCTGAAACGTCCTCCACAAGGCACCATGAGGGAGCCAGTTGAATGCCTCCTTCAGTCCACATAGCACATGTTGACTGATTGGTCAAACTCCGATGAACCCTCGAGCAACGTGCAGAGGGTATAGAGCTGATCCACTGTTACACAGCCAGGATGATGACCACAATGCTTCTCCTGAAGCCGAGGTTCAACCATTGCTGGACTCTCCTCTCCAGGACCCTGGCATAGACCTTACTGGGGAAGCTGATGCGTGTGGTTCCCTTGTAGTTAGAAAAAACACCCTCCAGTTTCCTTTGTTATGTAGGAGAACCACCACTGCAGTCTGCCAATCCAGGGGCACTGTCCTGGACCTCAATGCAATGTCGAAGAGGTATTTCACCCAAGACAGCCTGACAACATCCAGAGCTCTAAGGTACTTGGGGTGGATCACCTCCACCCACAAAGCCTTGCCACTGTGGAGTTTTTTGACCACCTCAGTGACTTCAGCCTGAGTGATAAATGAAGTCAGCCCAGAGCACCCCATCTCTTCTTCACCAAGGAAGGCGTGTCAGCCGGATTGAGGAGATACTCAAAGTATTCCTTCTACCGTCCAACAATGTCAGGCTCAACAGCTCCTCAGTCCAACTGAAAAGAGTGTTAGTAAAGCACTGCTTAGCCCTCCAGAGGCACAGGACCATTTGTCAGAACCGCTGTCTCCATGGCCTCTCCAAACTCCTCCCAGATTGGGCAGCAGTCAGGCAGTCAGAGGGCGTTTAGATTCCCTTTGCTGAGGTGAATCTAAACATGGATTTGACATAATGACACCATGTGCAAGCAAGAGGATATTCATCGGTGCACCTGGCACCAGGACACTCTAGGGCTGAGGTCAATGATCGACTTTGTAGTCATATCTTCTGACTTTGGGCCACATATCTTGGACACTCAGGTGAAGAGAGGGTTGGCACTGTCCACTGACCACCACCTGCTGGTGAGTTGGATGCACTGGAAAATGAGGAGACCAGACAGACTCGGGAGACCCAAGAGAATGGTGAGAGTCTGCTGGGAACATCCGGTTGCTCCCTTGGTAAGGGATAGTTCAACTCCCACCTCCTCTAGGAGAGCTTCTAGCAGATTCCAGGCAAGGCAGGATACTTGGTTTCTGAGTGGGCCATGTTCTCTGCACCAAATGTCACCATCCGTAGCTGTTGCCGTAAGGTCTATTATGCCTGTCGTGGTGGAAATCCCCGAAATTCGGTGGTGGACAACGGCCGTAAGGAATGCTTGTCAACCTGAAGAAGTCCTATCAAGCCCGGTTGGCTCCCAATTCAACAAGCCGGTATCTTGAGGCCAAGCTTGCTTCATGACATCAAGCATGCTGCTGCCAAGGTGGCTGGAGAGGAAAAAACTGGAAATCCAACTAATTTCTTTCGGAACTGTATTTTATTGCATTGAAAATTCGATTGACTAATGTCCCTTTCATTTTTCATTGTTTATGTGGCACACATCTGGGTCCTTGAGAAAGATTAGACTAATCAAACAGATTTTCATCATGCCAAAAGACTCCTACGTTTAGAACTGAAATGGAATCCTACAACTGAAAGTGACATAAGTCAAACTGAATTTTCAATGCAACAAAATATTTTCGATGTATATCAATTCAGTTTCATCCTCCACTACCAGGAGGTAAATATTTTGTTTACTCCATAACTGTTCCAATGTTTAACATTGCACGGGGTGTGTTTGTGTCTGCGGGGATCTGCTTATAATTTTTTATTTTTTTTTTCAATTTCTTTGAGCAGCAATACAAGCAAGATTTACATTGAGATAAAATGATTGTAATCAATCCAGATGGGAGATCCTCGTTATATCACACAGAAGGTAAGAGCTAAAGATAATGGGAGATAAAAGAAGGAAAAGAGACGAGGCAGTGTGACAGCAGTTAGCAGGACACCTGAACCTCGCACATCCGCAGCTACTTACTGGGTCGGAGTAACATGAATCATGCTTTTTATCTGAATTGTGTTTAATCAACTTCCTGTGGGGTTATTTTTCCTAAAAATGAAATCTATGGCTTTTAATCTTCGACCGATTATTATGTTTTGACATTTGATGAATAGGAACAGAAAAATGTATCTTACGGCACCAAACAACCTTAACCATACTATGAGTTGGTTAAGGTTGACAATGTCTGTCAACCTTAGACAATTAGACTATGTCTGTTTGTGATAATGAGCATTTTATTTCTGGAGGTATAATATATATATGAAACAATATCCTAACGACTTTAATTAGCACACATCTTTTTCTTGTGCACTTATTGTTTGAAAGCATCCATTAAGGCAAGTCTATTTATAGAGCACATTTCCGTGGCAAGGCACTTCTAAGTGCTGTACATAAAAAAGAAAAGGACATTGGAATGGCATAAAGCTAATTACAATTGGCATTTTTGTGCAGAAAAAAGACTCAGTAAGTAACATTCATCATGATAATCAGGTGCAAACAACAAAAGACTGAAGGCAGATGTGTTATCAGAAGGGAATACCAAAAACAAGGCTAGAGGAAAAACAAAATGTGAAATCCCCAATAAGTATTATAGCTAATGGGGGTAATAAAATCCTAATCATAATATGTGCGAACCCAAATAAATGTACAGAAGAAACATTTTACACCCAGGAAGATTATTCCATCTTGAACAGGGATGCGGTGATCCATTTCTACTGCTGTTTTTATGCTGTTTATATGTATGAACAACACATTTCTATTCCAAAAAGCAGCATGAGATTTGTATAAGGTCAGAGAAGGAAGTCATAAAAACAGTAAATCATGTTAACGCGATAAATTATGTCCTGAAAAAAATATGCAAATGCGACGATTCAAATAGACTGGATTTATTTAATCAAAGACAGATGAAGGGGGAAACGTTTCTACTGTTTAAAGGAAAAGTCCGGTCATATTCAGAATGCAAACTTCTGAAAGTACTTTAAATATAAAATGTGTTTTAATTCAGAGTAATTTTCATTTGAATGTGCTTTACTGGAGGCATCCATGTTTGTCAAAGAACACTACTGCCACCTACCGATTTGTGACATCACGGTGCGGTATCGGCTGTTGATCAAGTCCCAGTGCTGTATCTGGTGTTTATCACAACGCGCTATTATCCATGATAGCGACGACCACTGTACTATGCGAAGCAGAGAGTAACGGGTTAATTACGTGTTTTTTCTCTGGCCAGAAGTCCGATGGCAAATCCTCCCTCTTCAAGTTGGCGATCCAACGACGAACCCGTGAAATAACGAATCTTTTTCACTTTTACCCGATGTATTCCAACATCCAACTGCCATGCATGTGGGCATTGTC